GCCCGCCGCCCCCCCCCCCCCCCCCCCAGCTGGCTGTGGCAAAAGGGCATGTTATTCGGGCTACCTTTTAAACCTTGCAGGTAGCTTGGCCTGATCTGATCCCATGCAATCAAGTGGTGTATCGGTAGACATTGCCAGCTGTTGAATGGGCTTCACTCTTCTGGTGATGGTCTTCAGCAGAACAACACTCACGTTTCCAGTTCTGTTGGAGGTTGTCCGGGTGAATTTTGCTAAATGCTTCTTTCTCTCATGTGGGATTGAACAGTTCTCTGGCCAGTGAAACCTTTTTCAGCCGGAGACCAACATGTTCAGTTGCATTTCCCCCCTTCTAGTCTTTGGACTAGTCGAATCCCGTCGGCCAAGGAAATAGCACAACCGTCCTTGGTTTTGAAACAGTCTCTCTGACTTCCTTCTGTTCCGCATCTCGGTTGCATGCATGCATGTATATGCAGTTCCTCATCAGGATGCGATACCTGCCACCAGGCAAACTTCAGTGGGTGGCTGAGAGCTGACTAATGCTGAAACCTGCTCAGTGAGCAGGTGTGCCTCGAATCGGTTCTCCGGAGTCTCCTCATCCGGCAAATGAAAGCCAGTAATTTATCCTTTCCCCAGATGGGTTCTGTGTGGAAACCTTACAGAGAAAATTTGAAAAGCCACTGAGCATGGTGGTCCATGGTCCAATTCATTTACCTGATGACAGAGACATCTTGAAACTGCTGTTACATCTGTCTGCTCTTTGGCATGGCAAATTGACCACAGTGCTATATTAGATTTGCGGTGAAAGGAGCATATCTTTCTAAGACGGGAATCTGATCCTTTTGTTTTCCTGTTAAGATGCAGGGGAAGCCAATGAAGTAACCTTTTGAGTTACCTACAGTAACTTTATTTTCCTGATGTAATGCACTTTTGAGGACGGGCGTTAGTTGCATTAGGCTGACCTCAGCCTTTTAAAAATGGGGCTCTGCTGCAGTTCTATTCACTGCAGTATGAAGGTGCATTTACATCTTTATTGCACAATCATCTTCTTTTTTTTTTTTTTTTTAAATGGGAGACTTGTTTCAGGGCAGAGATCGAGGTGATTCTACGGTACCTCGCTTCAGAAAAACAAAGCTGTGGCAGCCACTGCAGAGGTAAGCACGGATTTTTGTTTCAACTAGCTCTGTTGCCTTGCTGCTGGGAGTAGCTTGCTTCCTCCTTGACAGCAGGCATCATTCCTGTTCAATGCAGTGCCTCGTTGACTGATAACTCTTTAAGCTTTCTCTTAGCAACAGAGAACCCAGGCCTCCTGTTGCAGCATTGTTTTTTCTGGAACTGATTTGGCAGCTTGTATGAAATGAGCCGATGGTTGGTTTAAAAAAAAAAAAAAATAAAGGCACCAAGTAGCCCATCTCCCACTCTTCTTGCCTTCTCCCTGCAAGGCAGGATTAATAACCCTGATGAAAATTTGCTAGCGCCTGTCTTTTGCTGCTCCTTGACTAACTGGCAGGCTTGCTATTGTGTTCCAGCACCACTCTCTTTTCCTTTCTGGCATCCAGGCTTCCATCTCTGGTGGCCAATACAGATGTTATAAATGATGCATCTGTTGCCACCTGGCAATCTTCTCTTCTTCCAGCTAAACTTGGGAGAAGGGCATCACCTTTTTTGCTCTCTTGTGAATTGCAACTCTGGGCTTGGGGCTGGGGAACAGGCTTGGCTTTGGGAAAGCTGTTCCTTGCGGAGTGCAGGAGAACCTGACCTGCATAGCAACCTTTGTTGGTTCTTGGCATCACTAGGTGAGCCTTCCCCAGGCCCCAAGGTCCCTGTTTGGGGGTGTGCCATTTGATAGAGATATGTATATTTTTTTAACATTCACTTTTTCCTGTGTTCAAACTACTTCAGTTTCATTTTCTTGGCTCACACAAGTGCCATGTGGATCTAGAAGAGGTGTTGAGGCTCAGCCATACATCTTATGGATCTGCTTTGAACAATCACTTTTATCAGTATTTCACTGCCATGCAATGGTGGCACTAGACTATGCTAACACATTCAGTTGACCTCAATGCTACTTGGGTGCTGTCAGCAACCTGAGCATCTTAAATCCTCTATTTCTACTGGCTTTTTTTATTTCAAATGTATATCCTCTGGGGCTGCTAGCCTGTAGTTGCTTGCTGGCACTTTCCAGGCTGTCTTGCCCGTACATAGACCATGATGCTCAATTCTGTAACTCTTTCAGGTAAATACATATGGTACCCAGTGGATGCTTGATATCAAGTCTGGCTTCATCATTCAGCTAGCAGAGGGACTTTTGACCACTGGGGCTAGTGAGGTTGTCTTTTTTTTTTTTTCCTCCTGTTACCTAGAGGAAAAAGCTCTGTAACCCAGAGAGAAGGCTGTATGGGCATAGAAGATACTGGGGGTTGCTTGAGGATCTTTCCTCAAACTGACGCATTGTTTTTCCAACTAAGTGCTTTTGTTGTTGGCGCTCTAGTATTTAATACTTGACCGTGGCAGAAAACAGACAATTGCACCTCCTTGAAGCATTTGATTAAAGCTTAATCTGTACAAATGATGCTGGGTCCCTTGCCTTGGTTTCCTGCCATGATCTCTTCTGCACGTGTCATAACTTGAAGGACTCTTGAGTTTTAGTTCTCAAATCCTGCCTCAGCCTCTCCTCTTCAACAGTTCCTCAGACAGCACAGCCTTTTTTCCCAGCAGTTGTTGGCTTTGCCTGACATTCTGGCAGTCCAGTCTGCATTCGTGAATGTTCGGGCCTTCTTTACAAGGGATGGCGATGACCACTACAGCCACTGTGTTTTGAACTGAGTCCCAAAATGTGATGGGATTATAACACTATAGCTGTCAAACTTTGAAAGATATAGTGAGGCAAAGGTCTAGGCATAAGGACTAATCTGAATTTTGCCATTTGTCCTAGATTTAGACCAGTCTGGCTTTAATTTGATCCCATATTAACCTATGTTAGGGAAAGCCGTGCTAGTATGGTGCAATCATCAACAAAATACTTCTCTTGATTGGTCTTCAAAGGAATTTGAGTTGGGAAATTGGAAGACTCAGTGCTGCTTCTTGGTAGGAACCATGCTGCCCTTTGACCAATGCAGCAAGTGAAGGTTTTTCCTCCCTGAAGTTTTGTCAGCTTGTCTTGGGATGTACGTGCTGCAATCTTTCTGTCTGTTTGCTATTCTAGAAGCACAGCAGCCCATGTGCAGTAATGCAGAGCAGTCCTAGCACTGAGCTTGCACTCTTGATGGCAGTCTCCTTCTGAAAATGTAATTGCATCTGGCTGTCATCTAAGTGATGAGTGGGGTGGCTGGGGTTAGAGGCTGCTGATTCATACGAGAGCAGTCCCTTTGGACTGACTCACGAAGAGCCATTTAAGTGCACAACATCCCAGACTACTTGCGTCTCCAACTGTACATGTTGGAAACCACTAGAATTTAGCCTAGAGCTCTGAATAGCTTTCATCTTCTGGCCCTTTGTAAAGCTGAGTCATAATTAGTATCAAAGACTAGGTTTGGGCCTAAGATTTCTTTCTTTAGCACATGGAGTGGGGTGTTTCATTCCCTAGGTTTAGCACGGGGTTTCAGCTTGGATCCAGGAGGGTTCACATTACCCCCCCCCAGTCCATTAAGATTTGACCCTTGTTCTTGTCCCATACAATACAGATCACTGTATTCAGAATATGCAGTTGCTGTTGGCAAAAGAGCTGGTGCAGTAACTTCAAGAGACCCTTCCCTGTGAAGCGGGCTGAGCCCTTTATTGAAGGACAACCTGTAAGCGATAGTAGAACTTAGATGTGCAGTAATATTTGGGTTCTTGCTTTCTTCATTGTCTATGCAATTGGTGTGGGAATAAATGAAGGGTAACTCATCAAGAGCATAGGGCCTTTCATCAACAGTCTGTTTTCCAGACCAATCTGGTGAAATATTTTTCTTTTTTCTTTTCTTTTCTTTTTTAAAAAAAATAAGAATGGGACTTTTGCAAACAGTGCTGTGGCCGTTGGCAAACTGTGAATTGGGATTTTCTTTTGGGGGGGAGGAGGAGGGGTGGAAACCAGATCAGACCAGTAGCTACTGTAACACTGGCTAGAAAAAGATTCACTGAAGTGTGTATGGTGCTTTGGAAACCTTTTGTCTCCTGGATCCTTCACAGAAAAGAAGCTGGAGACTTGTCCTTTTTTTTGTGTTTTTTAAAGAAGCAACCAGTTACAAACCCCATAAATGGTACTTATGTACTTATATTCTGTTACGTAAGTGCATGTCGGAGCATTAAACCACACATGGCCACACCCTGGAGTGGAGCTGGTGAGAGATTCTTTTTTTAATTTTATTTTTAGTTTACTAACCAGCTCATGTATGGGTTGCATTATAGAGCTGCAAGCACGTGTGGCAAAAGCAAGGGCAGTGGTAAGTTGTGGTTCCAGTAAAGCGTTCAGACACCTGAATGCAGGACTTCCTGTAGCCACTGCAGTATCTTAAGGCTTTTTTTTTTTCTTCTCCGAGTAAGGATTTTTTTATTTTATTTTATTTTTTTTTATTTTATTTTTTTAAATGAAGCCAAATACTATGGTTCTCTTCAGTGAGTCCCCCTTTAGAGCTATGGCATAGCTGTACCATGGTGGATTGAGAGGATGCCCACCCAACTCTAGAACAGACTAGCCGGCTTGATATGGAGTTGAAAGTGTGTTTCTCTTAGGTTTCCAACACTGTAACAGATGCAACATAAATAAAGAACCTGTTCCACAATCCCGGATACTCGGCGACTCTGGATTCTTTTATGAAACTTTGGGCATCGCACCTGTGCCAACAGGGGCCCGGGCTAAAGCCCGTCCGTGTACACGGGGAACTTACCTGGGAATGGATTGGCAGAGGTGTGTATGATTAATGTCCAAACAGAAGGGGTGAAACAAGCCCCGGCCTCTCTGCTTTCTTTAAACCTAAGCAGTAGCTGTACGTGCCGGTCCTTCGTGCTAATAAACCACAGTGTCCAGCTAGCGGGCTGCTCCCGTCGTCTCCGGCCCCATGGGGAAGGGACAAGTACGATAATGCCGCCATCTTCAGACCCTCCCTTCCTTCCCCCAGCCCAGCCAAGCTTCGACCCTACCCCGCCTCGCTGTAGCTATGCAGAGGGAGCGCTGCATACATTTTATTTAATTTATTGGATTTTATGGGAGCGACTCCACAGCTTTCCTGCACGGGCCCTGGGGCAGCTCATGCTGCCAGCCATGTTCACGTGAGAGCAGGATCCTGTAGAAGCCAGCTCCCACCTGGGTCCACGTTAAGCACTGATGTTGTGGCAGGTGGGCTCTGCAGAGCTGCACAGTCGTTTTTGGTACTGTGCGCTGAGTGCACCCGTGCCTGGACTCCAGGCCTTGTGTGATGTATGTAACGTGTGCCAGGCTGGTGTCATGCAGGCCTAGAGCTTGTTCAACAGGCTCTGCCTGCCTCCAGCTGCTGCCCCTGGTTCCCTGCCACGGGCCACGTCCTCCTGCTCAGCTGAGATCAGGGAGCTGCCCCTGCTCCAGAAGCTGCAGTGTGGGCCCCGGGGCCTGCTGGGAGCTGTAGTGCCGCCCTGCTTCCGGGGCACGCCGGGAGCTGTAGTGTTGCCATGCCACGGAGAACGCCGGGAGCTGTAGTGCGGCACTGCCGCGGGGCCCGCCGGGAGTTGTAGTTGAGTCCTCCCGCCTCAACTGCCGCCTCCAACCGGCGTTTCCCGGCAGGCGCCGCGCGGCTCCGCGCGCGGATTGGCTGGCGGCGGGGCTGGCGCATGCGCACTCCACACACGCT